AGGTGAAATGTGTTCTACAAGAAGATGTACTTTCAACGCATTTATTGTTTCATATAAAATGTCATCAATATGGAACTATGTAGTCTGTGTGCTGCCACCAAGAAGCTTTCAGAATATTTTCAATTTCAGATCTGTACATTCTAAACATAATTTATGTAGTAACAGTCCTACGTTGTAAACACAGCCAGCATGGTGAGGAGGGGGTTTGTCAACTCGCGTTGAGTCTGTCTGTGTAGGAGCCTGAATGAAAAGGGCTCGAAAGGGCACGTGATTGTGCAATGCATTGTGGATCGCAAGCGCCATTTTTGCGGTCATTGTTGTTTTGTTTACATTGTCAGAGAGAGAAGAAGTGAAGCGAGAAGCGAGAAAGAACACAACAAAAATGGACCGGGCTAAGGAAAAGTCTGTTGGATGGTACAAAGACAAGCTGAACCCTGTTCCAAAGGCTCCATACCTCGAAAAAATAAAGAAAATAGGTGGAGTGGATCCTTACAAGCACAGAAACTGAATTAAAATGACCTGTCACCGTTTTCTGAATAAGCTACTATACCAGCGGCAAATTTAGGAATGCCAAGTCTCAAGAGAGGGTGTGCTTTCATTTTGCTTTGTTTGCTGCCCTCTGCTAACGTTAGTTTGGGTAACGCTAGCAGCCTACTAAATGCTGCATATGAAACAACATAACACACGCTTTGATTATACTTACCGGTGTGAAAATGCAGTGAACACACCAATATGTGTCGGGTGATCTTACTGAAAGTGAGGTTTGGTCGTCTCACGGCTGCTATCCAAGCCATTCGGCGCCTCTTGGTTAGCTCAGAGATCTGAGGTCCCTGGCTTTGTTTCCAAGTGGGTAAGGAGAAAAATCTCAGCCCATCGATCCTTTTTCCATAGCGATTGTTAGACCGATTGTGGCAGTTAATTACACAGCAAGTCTGCAACATTTTATATCGCTAAAATTAATGTTAATTCGCTAAAAGAACAACAACAAAACACAACTGTAGCATCGTGCAACGTAAACAGACTTTCCAGGCTCCCCATGTGTTTCAGGATCGATTTTAAGGTTCTTTTATTAGTTTTTAAAAGTCTTAACGGTCTTGGGCCATCTTATTTATCTGACCTGCTTTTATCATATCAACTCGTGGATCCTGAGGTCCTCCAGCACCGGCCTTTTAATCATTCCAAGAGTTGCATCTAAAACCCACGGGGAGGCTGCATTCAGCCATTATGGCCCTCACTTATGGAATAGCCTGCCGGAGAGCATCAGGACTGCAGAGACTGTTGATGTTTTTAAAAGGAGGCTCAAGACTCACCTTTTTAGTTTGGCTTTTAACTGATTTCTTTTACTCTTTTAATTCTTCTATTATATGTTATTTTAATCTCTAATGCTTTTAAATGATTTATTTTTACATCGCTATGCATTTTATTTTTATTAAATTTCTAAATCTTCATTTATTTTATCTTTAAATCTTTAATTTCTCTAAATCCTTAAATTTTTCTTCATTTTATCATCATTTTATCTCATACCTGTTTCATCCTATCCTATTGCCTTTTAGTCTTTTAGTTTTTAGCTCCAGAGTTTCCTCATGGGGGGCCCCCACACTGGGAGGTGTGTCCGGTCTGCCCAAGGGGACGTTGTCCTGGAGATCCCTCAGGCCCGGAGGACTGGGGGGCTCTGCACCATGTGTGGAGTCCACCCCAGTCTATCTGGGTCAGGGTGGTCTCTGTGGCGGCGCTCCCTGTGGCCGTAGGCTGTGACACCTCTCAGTGTGGATGATCTCCCCATAGGTGGTTATATTGACTGTGTGTGTGTGTGTGTGTGTGTGTGTGTGTGTGTTGTGGGGGTGGGAGGAGCAGGTTTTCAATATTTCTAGTATTTTTGTTTTTATTTCGTGAAGCACTTCGTGTTGCATTTTTAAAGTATGAAAAGCGCTATATAAATAAAGTTTGATTTGATTTGATGATTTGAATTGCCCGCTAAGCCCACAATGCATTGCAGTTTTTCCACTTCCGCTATGTCACCCTTTTGAGCCCTATACTACACAATAACTACCGTTGTTGCAATACGCGTTTGAAACAGTGAGGTGCTAGAGTGCGCTATCCGTTTGAATGCAATATACGATTTCAACGTTAGATGGGAGAAATTCCTACACACTGTGGCTTTAAGAACTGAGTGAAGTGTTATGGAGTTAAATGTTGTGATGACAATAACCATTTTGCATGATGGCAAGATTGTTTTTGTTCTGTTTGAGTGTGAAACTTGTTTCCAAGACCATTTCCATGCTTTCAGTGTGTCCACTCTTGGAACAGCAGTTTTCTTTAGGAAAATAAGCTTTGGATTTCTCCTCCTCTTTGACAGATAGAGGTCATCCAGGTCATCACTGTAGATTTACAGGTCTTCATGTGCAGTGTATAGACAGGAGTGTTAGGATCCATTTGTAGCACAATTAGCCAAAACCTTTGCACATCCATATCCAACAAAGATAGTCTATGAAAGCTGCTGGAAGTGTAGCTCCTCATTTTGTTGGCACAGGTCAGAAATGCATAAACACGAGTCACTCTTTACAACACAGCATTTTTCCTCTGTGAGTATGGGGTCACAGCAACTCCATCTCCCAGCTTCATGTCCTGCAGAGCCACCCTCCGCTGCCTTTTTGAGCTCTCTCACTCCTGCTCCACTCTTCATCTATATACTCCGGCTCACATAAATATAAGCAGTGATCAAATTTAAAAGCCTCATCCACATGATTGACATCTGATAAATAATTATCCATGACACTGAATATCTTTTAGATAACACTAAACTACACTTACTGTTAACTACTCTGGTTATTATACTCTCTCCAGAACTCACACACATTTCCAGTGTGGTTTTCCTGCAAGTGACATCTCATAATATTTCAGAATGAGACCTCCGCCTAACAAGGCAATAACAAACCGGATCAAGTGAAAGGCAACTTGAGCCACTCTGTGTCAGATATAACCACTTTTAATGGACATACAGTGACAATGTTTAATTGCCCCATGTGCCTCCATTGCAGCTTGTTCCAAGGCTGCCAGCTGCTGTCCACTCCCTCAGTACTGGAACAATTTCAAACATTGTTGTTCACATGAGTCTCTTTGATCAACTTACATGGGGAAATAGGGTCCATGTTGAAAAATGCTTGAGTTATCCTTTAAGTCCTGAAAAGGGTAAAAGATCATCTTCCAAAAAAGATTTACTTCAGCTCCCCCCTAGAGTGTATTAGTTGGTCTCACATGTAGCCTACACTCAAACTGAGTTAATTTGAAAGTTTATTTCAAAGGCCAGAATTTGACGTCATGCTGCCCACCAGGATTTGTGGAGCAAGGAGAAGAATGCAATAAACGCTACGATGACCAGATGCCTGTTTTGAAATGTCCCCGTTTTTAAATGCAGGTCTGCCAACTATCAGTCTGCCTGCATCATAGTTTATAACAGAGCAACAGTTCCCATAGTCAAATGAAACCCTATTGTCCTCCTTTTTTTAATTTCATAGATAACGTCTGCAGGACCATGTTGTAGTTGTTTTATCACTTGGTGGTAGCCAGTGTCATCCTCTACGCTGTAGTGTGCTAGGGCAGGAGAGTGAAGGCAGCTGATACTAACAGACTCAATAAGCTCATCAGGAAAGCTGGTTCTGTCCTGGGAGTGGAACTGGAGTCTTTGGTTGAGGTGTCAGAGAGGAGGAGGCTGAGAAAACTACTCAGTATTCTGGACGCCTCTCACCCCCTGCATCCCACTCTGGAGTCATATCAGAGCATATTTAGCCATAGACTGAGACCACAGTGGAGCACCACAGAACACCACAGGAGATCTTTTCTACCTATGGCCATCAAACTGTATGACTCCTCCCCCTTCTGTAAGGAGGAGAGCTTAAAGAAAGGACACAGACAACAATATTCACCTACATTAGGTGCACTACAACTTTTACATGATGCACATACTTTTCAATTTCTAGTGCAATATTTTCACAACATCACGTGCAATATTACTTTTCAATATCAAGATAACTTGTCAATGTAGACCCCTATGTCACCTCTGGACTATCAGCCACTACTGTACATTATAGCGCTTAATTCTGTATATAATGTAATCCATTCTCTTGCACTACTGTACATACTGTTTGAATCATGTATACTTTTTTATATTTACAATTTGCACAACTGTACATACTGTATAGTTATTCATACTGTACTACAATGTATAGACATAGCCTGTTCATAGTATGTACATAGCTGTAGAAATAGATGTATTTATATACCATTCATACCCTCCACCCTGTATATTAACCTGTACATATGTTATTTAATTACTGCTTATGCACTTCTGCTTAGATGCAATCTGACAATAAAGTTGCATCTAATCTAATCTAATGTAATCTAATCTAGTCTCATCTAATCTAATCTAATCTAATCATTTTCAAAATCAAAAATCATATGCAATACTACTTCTCAATGTTATATCATTGATTATCAGGTGCAGTCTGCATTTTTCCATGATTTTAGTTTATTTTTGGTAACTCTTGTATTTATCTTGAACCCACTGTTACTCTATTTTTTATTTTTATTTACTTTTGCTTCTTGTTCCTTAACATTTAATATTGTGTATATTTTGAATATTTTTTTTTACAAGATGGTAACATTTAGAACATATTTCGCTGGGATTTGTAATGTTGACTTTAAAATGAGAATTGTATTGCACACTGTAGAGGATGAAAAATCTCACTATTGCTAGTCTTAACTCCTTGAGATGGGGTACATACAGAAAGCCTATGTGAAATATTTGAGGGAGATAGGATCACACAATATAGCGGGGTTTTTTCTAAATTTTTAGTAATACTGTCATTTAATTAGTACTTTATTTACCATGTGATTAACCCCAGCCACAAGAGCTCATACCACATACTCCGGTACGGTAGGTGGCGGTATACACTTTATAAACGACGGTCTGCAACTCGTTAATAAAATAAAGGAAGAAGAAAACGTGTAGAAGAAGAAACTTATAAGGAAGTAGACACCTAACACACAAGTATGGAGAGCCCGGAGTTAACTTTTAGTCTAGCATACATAGTATTCTCTCTGTGCTTCGTGTTTACCCCCAACGAGTTCCGCTCGGCCGGTTTGACCATCCAGAATCTATTTTCGTCCTGGCTGGGGAGTGAGGACTTGGGCTTCATCCAGTACCACGTCAGGAGGACCAGTATCACCATACTGGTCCACTCCGCACTGCCGCTAGGTAACACAGCTAACATCCAGTCACATACAAGGGCAGGGAAATAACTCTGGCCATGTTTGTCATACAATACCGAGACCCAACCATGTAGGATAAACTAACATTTACCAAGTTGTTGGATGGTATAGTTTGCGTCACTTTTCGTGTTACATTTTGTTAAGACCAACACAAACACGCCCTCCTAGCTTCATGTGTTCCTGTAAACAAACAGACGCAGTGAGCGCGCGGTGACCTGACACCTTCATGTGGAGGTGGACAGCACTGAACTGTTTATGCACGGTCGTCCTATGTTTGGAACACGTAGGACATTAACAGGGATACACTTCCTGGACTCTCAAAAAGTGACGTCTGGCAGTGGCTGTTAACACCCCCAACACAACGCTGAGAGACGACACCTTATCCTCACACTCAAATCTAACACAACACAACCAAAAACTGTGAGTGTTCTCACGGGCTGCAAGGGCACAGGTTTTATCTCAACATTGGCAGGGAGACATACTAAGGGGGGCATCTGGGGGTCCTCCCCCAAAGATTTTGAGCGTCAAACACTTCATTTCCTGCATTCTGTTGATTTTTGTATGCATCAGTTTATAGTGGAAATGTGTATATATAAGGAAAACAAAATAAAAAATAATAAATAAAATTCAAAATAAAAACAGGCATTAATGGAATATAATGCAGTAAGTCCATTGTGTCTTTTGTTTGGATAGATAACCTTTTTAAAATGTGTATGTGCCACCTGTTCACATCAATGAGAAACTGACTCATTTTAATTAATTTATAAACCCCTTTACTTGCATAATCCATGTGTTTCAGAAAGATTTCTGCTTAAGTACAGTAGGGGTTGGCGATATGGCCCTAAAATAATATCACAATATTTCAGGGGATTTTTGCTATAACGATGTTCCCAACAATATAACAGATTTGTTTATAAAAAAGTTATTATTCATTTAAGAACATAGAATTGCAACAAAATAAGTGATATAGTTTACATGTCACCTTAACAGTTGGCCTTCAAATATTCAGTAAAAATGAAAATTCTCTCTCATTTTTCATTTTGTGAACAACAGCAGTAACTCAGAGTGAGATTCAGGTTCTGTATACAATCTTAATAGTTAACAAAATAAAATGGGATCTATATACATAAACCAACAGACATTTTCCCTCTGTTAACAAAATCCTAAATGATTGAGTTCAGGCTGTTATGCTACAATAACTATTGCACATTTACATATATGCAGTTTTTTTGTTGAGCCGTGAGCAGTACGTAGGTTTACATTACCAAAGGTTTAATCACTTGACGTTACTGACTCCCATGTACGTACGGCAAGAAAGGAGAAGGAGAGACACTGTGTTGCTGCTAGAGGAATCGCTGAATGAGTTCCCTCAGCAGGGAGGGTAACTTGCGGTAACTCGCTAAAAGAGTTTGAGAAATCTGGCGGCTGTTCATAAAACATTCAGGACCCCCAGGCCAAACAACACTACAGTTCATTCAACACTACTGAAGGTGCTCCTCTTTTTGGAGTCACTGTGGAGTCGTTAATAGTTTTGCTGTTTTCAAAGAGGTCCCTTAACCTCTCGACTCAGGATATCTAAATGAAAATGGGTTCTGTGGGTCCCTGCAAGTCTCCCCTTTACAGACATGCCCACTGTATGTTAGGCCCATACAGTTTTGGGCACACACTATGCACCTTTTTGCTAGAGCTGCATCCCAAATTAGTCTGCCAGCTTTCAGGTGATATACCACTTCTATGTGGCATATACTGTTGACCCACTATCTCCCCCAAAAGATCCTCTGTCCCCTCCACAAATAAGATAACATAGGTCTACAGTATGTGGGTCTCAGGGGGTTAATTGCAAGCTACTATTCTGTGTCTTCAACCACACTGTTGTAGCAGAGCATCACTGATTTGAAAGAAATAGGTCCAAAAGTCAAGATCATAAAGTAAATTTATTTGCATTCATTTGATTCCTTATCAAAACACTGGTAAGAACTGCCTCATCTCATTAATATGAACTTCAAAACTGTTTTGAAATGCAAAATGATGGAATTTTAAACCTGCAATTAATAAGTGCGATTAATCGTTATTAACAATTGAAATTCAACAATTAGTTGCGATTTTGAAAAATCATTTGACAGCCCTTGACATTAAAAAAATTAACCTGCTGCATTATTGCTATGTTGATATGGTAGTATCCCCATCAGACTGTCTGACAGATACAATACTTAATTAGACTGTCTTGTAAGACTGTCTTACCCCTTTTCCACCAACATTGAACTGGTTCCTTTCCAGTTTCCGCACCTAATTTTAAACCATTTAGAGCATTTCAACATAAACTGGTTCAGAATCTGAAAAGTTGGTTCTCAACTGGAACCAAAGGTTTTACTTGATATGAGGTGCGAACCATGATGACATCAGTGGGCGTGTTGTATTCTACAGGTTGGAAAGAGAGGATGGAGAGGTCAAGTCAGAAATCGTCAAAGAGTGTGCAGTAGTCTCATTAATAGTTGGTCCATGCTTGGTTTTTAGGTAAAAACAAATAACTGTAATAACAGAACACAAGTGATCTGTTCTGTATGTCATCTATTGCACATCTGTCCATCCTGGAAGAGGGATCCCTCCTCAGTTGCTCTTCCTGAGGTTTCTACCATTTTTTTTTCCCCCCGTTGAAGAATTTCAGCTTTATTTTAGTTGTTTTCAAAGGGGAGACGTTTTACACAAACTTAAACTTAAAAAAGTGGTTTCAGCTTTCAGTTACAGTAATAAAACATCTGTTCAACCAAAAATAACCCTTCTCTTTATATTCCTTTAAGGGTCATTTTGACTTATAATAATGATAATAACAATTCTGTAATACTGTGATACTGTACTGAGACTGTTACCATACCATGAAAATCTCATACCGTTGCAACCCTAGTCCCTACCAGAGGTGGGTAGAGTAGCCAAATATTGTACTCAAGTAAGAGTACTGATACTTTAGAACAATATTACTCAAGTAAAAGTAAAAAGTAGTCATCCAAATAATTACTTGAGTAAGAGTAAAAGAGTATTTGGTGAAAAAACTACTCAAGTACTGAGTAACTTGAGTAACGTCTGATTTATTTGTAAAATAAGAACATGAACGTAATCAATCAATCAAAAATAATAATCTGCAAATTCATGTGTTTTAAACGATACCCCTTTAACTAAAACAAAAATAAATTAAATCTTTACAAACATAACATAAATCAAGGCACAAGAAACACAAATATATTCTTACATATACTGCACACACACACACACACACACACACACACACACACACATATATACAGTACAGGCCAAAAGTTTGGACACACCTTCTCATTCAATGCGTTTTCTTTATTTTCATGACTATTTACATTGTAGATTCTCACTGAAGGCATCAAAACTATGAATGAACACATGTGGAGTTATGTACTTAACAAAAAAAGGTGAAATAACTGAAAACATGTTTTATATTCTAGTTTCTTCAAAATAGCCACCCTTTGCTCTGATTACTGCTTTGCACACTCTTGGCATTCTCTCCATGAGCTTCAAGAGGTAGTCACCTGAAATGGTTTTCCAACAGTCTTGAAGGAGTTCCCAGAGGTGTTTAGCACTTGTTGGCCCCTTTGCCTTCACTCTGCGGTCCAGCTCACCCCAAACCATCTGGATTGGGTTCAGGTCCGGTGACTGTGGAGGCCAGGTCATCTGCCGCAGCACTCCATCACTCTCCTTCTTGGTCAAATAGCCCTTACACAGCCTGGAGGTGTGTTTGGGGTCATTGTCCTGTTGAAAAATAAATGATCGTCCAACTAAACGCAAACCGGATGGGATGGCATGTCGCTGCAGGATGCTGTGGTAGCCATGCTGGTTCAGTGTGCCTTCAATTTTGAATAAATCCCCAACAGTGTCACCAGCAAAACACCCCCACACCATCACACCTCCTCCTCCATGCTTCACAGTGGGAACCAGGCATGTGGAATCCATCCGTTCACCTTTTCTGCGTCTCACAAAGACACGGCGGTTGGAACCAAAGATCTCAAATTTGGACTCATCAGACCAAAGCACAGATTTCCACTGGTCTAATGTCCATTCCTTGTGTTTCTTGGCCCAAACAAATCTCTTCTGCTTGTTGCCTCTCCTTAGCAGTGATTTCCTAGCAGCTATTTGACCACGAAGGCCTGATTCGCGCAGTCTCCTCTTAACAGTTGTTCTAGAGATGGGTCTGCTGCTAGAACTCTGTGTGGCATTCATCTGGTCTCTGATCTGAGCTGCTGTTAACTTGCCATTTCTGAGGCTGGTGACTCGGATGAACTTATCCTCAGAAGCAGAGGTGACTCTTGGTCTTCCTTTCCTGGGTCGGTCCTCATGTGTGCCAGTTTCGTTGTAGCGCTTGATGGTTTTTGCGACTCCACTTGGGGACACATTTAAAGTTTTTGCAATTTTCCGGACTGACTGACCTTCATTTCTTAAAGTAATGATGGCCACTGGTTTTTCTTTAGTTAGCTGATTGGTTCTTGCCATAATATGAATTTTAACAGTTGTCCAATAGGGCTGTCGGCTGTGTATTAACCTGACTTCTGCACAACACAACTGATGGTCCCAACCCCATTGATAAAGCAAGAAATTCCACTAATTAACCCTGATAAGGCACACCTGTGAAGTGGAAACCATTTCAGGTGACTACCTCTTGAAGCTCAAGGAGAGAATGCCAAGAGTGTGCAAAGCAGTAATCAGAGCAAAGGGTGGCTATTTTGAAGAAACTAGAATATAAAACATGTTTTCAGTTATTTCACCTTTTTTTGTTAAGTACATAACTCCACATGTGTTCATTCATAGTTTTGATGCCTTCAGTGAGAATCTACAATGTAAATAGTCATGAAAATAAAGAAAACGCATTGAATGAGAAGGTGTGTCCAAACTTTTGGCCTGTACTGTATATATATATATATATATACATATATATATGTAATTATGTACTCAGAGGTGGGTAGAGTAGCCATATATTGTACTCAAGTAAGAGTATTGCTGCTTTAAAACAATATAACTCAAGTAAAAGTAAAAAGTATTTTGCATTAAAACTACTCTGAAAAGTACAATTTATCCAAAAAGTTACTCAAGTAAATGTAACTGAGTAAATGTAACTAGTTACTACCCACCTCTGGTCCCTACCATTGATATGCAAACCAATGCCTTTGATGGACTGTATTGTACATTTTTGGTCTCATGTTTGTGCATGGTGCAGCATGGTGTAGGTAGATTGTGTGCTCAACAGGGTCTGTAGTGGATGTGATCTGTTCCTTGTGTTGTCATTTGATGCTGTTGTTCATGTACGTTTTGCTGATGTCCATGTTGTGGTTCATCTGTCCAGGTTACTACATGGGGATGTGTATCGCTGCTCCTGAAAAAAACCTGGCATACATCCACCAGGTCAGTCTGTCTGTCTGTCTCTCTCTCTCTCTCTCACTCTCTCACTCTCTCACTATATATCTGTCTGCAGATTTATGAACAAACTTGGTGTCACACTAAATTAAGGACACATGCACCACACTTCATGATGCCAGCTGTCTAATTTCCTGTAATTCAGAGTAGATACATATTGTAATAATGTGATTGATCAGATTCATTGTGGAGCTGTATTCCAGTTCATTTCCAGTAAGATGCACATAAATGGTTTTGTTTCATACCACTTAGGATGTAAAATCAAGCTAGCAAAGGAGAACAAAAGAAGATATGGTAAAATATACAACTAGCTAGCTGCCAATGTGTCAACAATGATATTAAATGATATTGGATTAATTTAGGTTGTGATGTCCAATGACCAAAATTCAATAATAATACAATAAACTTTATTTATAGAGCACCTTCCATACTGTACAAGAAATGCAGCACAAAGTGCTATACAATAAGGGCATAATAAGCACTGAGTGCTTCACATGAAAACAGACATAATGAACATAAAACAGACAAACAAGGCAATTCAGTATAAAAGGACATGTAAAACAGTTTAAAACAGAGATTGACTGATTCAACTATTGTCATTTAAAAGTGGTAATTTGAGATCCTACTAATCCAAATCTCATATAGTATTTATTCTTGTGTCACCTTTTAGGCCTCCGACGTCATTAACAATCAGAGCCTATAATTCCCAACGGGCACAGACTCACCAACAGACATTAATTAACTGAAATAAGCATCTGCAGGTATTGTCTGTGACGGGTACAGCCCACAGCTGCCACGGAATCTACCACCCAGTTATGTCACTGTGGATCAAATTCAGCACAGTCTTCCTCCGTCAAATTCAATTCAATTCAATTCAATTTTATTTATAAAGCCCAATATCACAAATCACAATTTGCCTCACAGGGCTTTACAGCATACGACATCCCTCTGTCCTTAAGACCCTCACAGCGGATAAGGAAAAACTCCCCAAAAAAAACCCCTTTAACGGGGAAAAAAAAAACGGTAGAAACCTCAGGAAGAGCAACTGAGGAGGGATCCCTCTTCCAGGACGGACAGACGTGCAATAGATGTCGTACAGAACAGATCAGCATAATAAATTAACAGTAATCCATATGACACAATGAGACAGAGAGAGAGAGAGAGAGAGAGAGAGAGAGAGAGATGCAGGTAATGACAGTAGCTTACAACAACATTAATGAAAGTAATAATATTATAGTTATAGTTCTGGCTACTGTGGTACAATATGTTGAAAGTATGTATTAATATCTGACAGTATACTTGTGTGACAATAGTCATATGTGTATAATAACAGTAGAAGTATGACTAATGACTAATGATGGCAGCAGCAGCAGGAGGCATCTGGCAGGACCACGGCAGCAGCACAACCACACACGTCACGCTGTCCAGGCACCGCTGCGATATGAGTTAATCTGAGAGACAGTGGAGCACAAAGGCTCCGGAGAAGAAGCCGAGTTAGTGACATCCAGAATGGCCGAGTTAGCAAGATGCAGTAATAGAATACGAGAGAGAGAGAGAGAGAGAGAGAGAAGGAGAGAAGGTGCCCGGTGTATTATAGGGGGGTCCTCCGGCAGACTAGGCCTAAGTCAGCCTAACTAGGGGCTGGTACAGGGCAAGCCTGAGCCAGCCCTAACTATAAGCTTTATCAAAGAGGAAAGTCTTAAGTCTAGTCTTAAATGTGGAGACGGTGTCTGCCTCCCGGACCGTAACAGGAAGATGATTCCACAGGAGAGGAGCCTGATAGCTGAAGGCTCTGGCTCCTGATCTACTTTTGGAGACTTTAGGGACCACGAGTAACCCTGCGTTCTCAGAGCGCAGTGTTCTGGTGGGATAATATGGCACTATGAGCTCTCTAAGATATGACGGAGCTTGACCATTTAGAGCTTTATAAGTTAACAGTAGGATTTTAAATTCAATTCTGGATTTTACAGGGAGCCAGTGCAGAGAAGCTAAAACAGGAGAAATATGATCTCGTTTCTTAGTTCCTGTTAGTACACGTGCTGCTGCATTCTGAATTAGCTGGAGAGTTTTTAAGGACTTACTAGAGCTACCTGATAATAGAGAGTTACAGTAATCCAGCCTTGAGGTAACAAAAGCGTGGACCAATTTTTCTGCATCTTTTCGGGTCAGGATAGGCCTAATTTTCGCAATATTACGCAGATGAAAAAATGCAGTCCGTGAGGTTTGCTTTAAATGAGAATTAAAAGACAAATCTTGATCAAATATTACTCCGAGGTTTCTTACGGTAGTGCTAGAGGCCAGAGCAATGCCATCTAGAGAAACTATGTCATCAGATAAAGAGTCTCTGAGTTGTTTGGGGCCAAGAACAATAACTTCAGTTTTGTCTGAATTTAACATCAGGAAATTGGTGCTCATCCAATTTTTTATGTCTTTAAGGCAGTTATGGAGTTTAGTTAATTGATTACTTTCTTCTGGCTTCATCGATAAATACAACTGTGTATCATCCGCATAACAATGGAAATTTATAGAGTGATTTCTAATGATGTTACCTAAAGGAAGCATATATAGAGTAAATAGGATTGGTCCGAGCACAGAACCTTGCGGAACTCCAAAACAAACTTTGGTACGTAAGGATGATTCATTACGAACGTCAACAAATTGAAAACGATCAGATAAATAAGATTTAAACCAGCTTAGTGCTGAACCTTTTAGGCCAATTAAGTGATCCAGTCTCTGCAGTAGAATTTGATGGTCAATTGTGTCAAACGCCGCACTAAGATCTAATAAAACAAGAACAGAGACGAGTCCTTTGTCTGAAGCAATCAGAAGGTCATTTGTAATTTTAACTAGAGCTGTCTCAGTGCTATGATGCACTCTAAATCCTGACTGAAATTCCTCAAATAAATTATTATCCTGGAGAAAATCACACAGCTGGTCTGCGACTACTTTCTCAAGGATCTTTGACATAAAGGGAAGATTAGATATTGGTCTATAGTTGGCTAACACCTCTGGATCCAGGGTGGGCTTTTTTAGGAGAGGTTTAATTACAGCTACCTTAAAAGACTGTGGTACATAGCCTGTTAATAGGGATATATTGATCATATCTAATATATGAGTGTTAACTAAAGGAAAGACCTCCTTAAGTAGCCTAGTTGGGATGGGGTCTAAGAGACACGTTGATGATTTAGATGAAGAAATCACTGCGGTCAATTCTTGAAGAGAAATTGGGGAGAAGCAATCTAAATATATATTAGATTCTACAGCTGTGTTTGAGGTTAGATAGGTAGGCCTACCATCTGAGGGCAGGAGGTCATGAATTTTGCCTCTAATAGTTAGAATTTTGTCATTAAAAAAGCTCATAAAATCATTACTGCTAAGGGCTAAAGGAATACAAGGCTCAATAGAGCTTTGACTCTCAGTCAGCCTGGCTACAGTGCTGAAAAGAAACCTGGGGTTGTTCTTGTTTTCTTCTATTAATGCTGAGTAATAGTTTGCTGAGTAATAGTTTGCTCCACCCACTAATAATAGCAAAACTGTAAATCTTAAAATCATTTTTGAATATCATAAGATGAAATGAGTCATAGAAATACATAAAATCATGACATCATAAAGTCATAGAATGTAAAACCATAAAATCAAGAAAGATACAACATTTTTTAAGAGTTGCAGCACTGACAAGTGTAACAAAAATGAAGTTTCAGACCTGTATTAGGCAAGTCAGCTAGTTAAAGGCTGTAGTGAACAGATAGGTTTTTAGCTTTCTTTTTAAAATATTTAGCGAGCTAGCTTCCCTTATATCTACAGGTGTGTTCCACAGCTTTGGGGTGTAATTGACACAGGCTGCATCTCTGATCTTCTCTGAGAAACTAGCAGCAGATGATCACAGTGTTCTTGGAGGCAATTACTTAAAAAGGGGTTAGCAACCTAGCTTGGTCCCAGCCCATTTCGGGCTTTGTATATCAGGAGGAGGAGCTTAATATCAATTGTACTCTTGGTACTGGTTAGTAGCAGAGCTGCAGAGTTACGAATAAGCTGAAGTCTCTCAGTGATGTTTTTCGGGAGGCCAGTAAAAAGGGCATTACAGTAGTCGAGTCGCCTCGAAATAAAGGCATGAAATAATTTTGCAGCATCTTTTTCCTTTTTCTTTTTTTTTCAATGTCAGAACAGCTTTTTTTTTCCAGTGTCAGGACATCTAATGCCAACGTCAGTGGATGTAGAATACTTTGACAGATGATATTTATATGTTGTTTTTAAGTTGTTTTGTTAGATAACCAAAATCCGATGTCTTCCAAACGTCTCATGCCAACGTCATCTGGACGTAGAAGAACGACCAGTGATGTAGTGGTAGTTGATGAGGTGGGTGTACTATTAGGTAGATGGGTAGGTTACAGAGGAGAAAGTGGGTATACTCTCCTATATTCCAATGGCTTTTGGATGATAGAAGGCTATACTGTGAACAGCTCTAAAAAGAGATGGGTATGCCCTGTGTACCCTGTATACCTTCCACTACACTACTGATAACCACATTTAGTCATAAAGATCACAAAACCCATCGTGTGTAACACATCATGATGTTTACATCCACACAACATGGAATTCTGACGTTGTTAGACATTTAAAATATTATCAGCCCGTAAGAGTCAAGTGTGTTTAAGATGTAAGTTTGATTTCCAGTACCAGTTGGGGCAGTTACAGACTAAACAGCTAGGCCTGTCACGATAATTACGTGATCAACTTATCATACAATAACATTTTAGCAAACATGAGTTCAAAATTAACAGCAGGGTTTTCCGACCGTAATTGGCTGAGTGACTCTCCATCCCCACTTAATTTAATAAAACAACACTGTAGTGAACCCCGGGCCAGGCAATGGTGAAGCGTACTGTTGTTTTCAAAAGTCTTTAATTATGTTCAGCCGTCATCTATATTATTTGAACACCACCGTTAACTTTTTCCTTCAAAACACCTTTTCTCCAGACACTCAGCTGCGACAACACAGGCTCCACTCGGTTTTAATGTTGTTTCTGTCCCTGTCCAAATGTCCTGTGCAATATGTGTATGTGTATGTGCAATGATGTCTGTTCTGTTCTGTATGTAGGTCAAACTGTTGTGGTGCTGTGGAAAAGAATTTCCCCTCTGGGGACAATAAAGTCTAAAGTCTAAAACACTGTAAGAGCTACAAAGCACACACAAATGAATAAAATAAGCTCTTACTCATGTGCAAACATAACCACAATCCATAAATACTATATCAAATTCATATGAAAGCATAAATTACAATATCAACCTTTGAACACATAAAACAAGACGCCAGTATCTCCGCGATGTTACCGATATTCAGTTAGGCCTGCAGCTATTTTTAGCATGACTGCTGCGACAGCAATACATTTAAATTTTAATACCTGCTTAATGTTGCGTCAATTCAAACACATATCACCACACATTATGAAACATTAAATGACATAATACCATGCTCCCATTCCAGCCAGGCACTTAATTATAATTAAGTAGAAACGAGCTTGATATGGCGGCACAGTGGTGCAGTGGTTGGCATTGTCACCATACAGCAAGAGGGTTCCTGGTTCAAACCCGGGGTGGAGGAGCCCTCCCTGTGTCAGCATGGGTTTTCTCCTGGTACTCTGGCTTCCTCCCACAGTCAAAAGACATGCAGGCTACGTTAACTGGTGACTCTAAATTGGCCATAGGTGTGAATGTGAAGCCCCTTTTACACTGCCAGATTTTCTGTGAATGTTGGGCCGTTTTGCCGACAAGCTGCGAGCGTTTAGACACACAGAGCCGGATTGGTGAGTTGATCCGAGGTGCCCAATTTTCCACCTTCCGCAACGGGAGGAGCTGTTGAAGACTTGTGGGAGGACTGTTGATGACGCCGTATGTGCGACCCACTGGCAGTGGACAAACAGGAAACAATTGATAGCAGGAATTAGCAAGCAGCTAGTAGCAAGAGGGAAACGCAAACCTGACAGACACAGTAAAGATGAGCAACTGGGAGACAAAGAATTGCGCGCCCTCCTTGCCCTCACAAACAAAGAGGCCATTAACCGCCAAATGACGGGGATGGTGAAGAACGGGCCAACTTATGAGAGAATCGCCGAAGCACTGACCAGCTGCAGCTTCCCTCCCACGTCACTGTTTATGTCACACGCTGAGCAGCATGTTTTGTTACTTGCTCACGCCCCCCCATTGCCCAAAAAAGGCACATTCTGTATGAACAAAGGTAGGCAGGCAGCATTTTGCTGCACTCCCCGATTTTGTTTTTAAACTGCCAATGCTGAAAAAAGACTGATTGGTCTTTCCTGCAAATTTGCACAAGTCCTATCTAAAAAGGGCTGTCAGCCCTGTGATAGTCTGGGGACCTGTCCAAAGTGTACCCCGCCTCTCACCCAGTGTCAGCTGGGACATGCTCCTGACCCCCCACGACCCCTAACAGGATAAGCTGTTACGGAAAATGAATGATTGAAAAGAGCTTGATTTTGCAGAGAAAAGTTGCATGTCTTCCCTCCTTTGTTCTCAAGCTTTACTGTTTCAATATTCTGTTTTTGCCAGGAGAAGGTTTCAAAATAAAAGTCTGATGGGATCAAAAGGAAAGGGGACCACCAAAATAAAGACTGACAGGAAGTAAAATTAACCTTAGCTTCAACTGTATTTACTGACCTTTACTTTCTGAAGTCATTTACAAACACTTCAAATACGACACAGTGTAGTTTACCAGTAGCCTGCAGCTGCACTTCTGGCGTGGAAGAAGCACGGTCCTGATAGTCGTTAGCTTGCCAACCCCTGGCAACAACCAAGAAGTCTGTTGTTAGAAGTTTTAACCTCCACTGCATAAACCCACTAGCAAACCACCTGGCTCCCAGGCCATCCAACCCTGGGAGCCAACTGCAGCAAACCAGCTGGATTATGGAGGTAACTGCAGTGTCTCTGGAGCTTCACTAAGCTTGTCTATTAGTCGCCAGAGGCACCCCTTGATTTTATTTTTGTTGGTCAAATTTTGTATTAAGTCTCAAACTTAGTATTTTTGGACCACTCATATACATTAAAATAGGATTTAACTTTTATATATTATATATTATATATTTATATATATCTTCCAACATAAGTACATATTGTGACAGGCCTATGAGCAGCTACATCACAACACAAAACAAAGTGAAGGAAGTGCACCAGTGACTGGTCTGAAACATAGCTAAATCTGCTTCCATTGTTTCTGTGACTTGGCATCAAACTTCTAAAGGAAACACTAAGGTACAGTTTGTGCTCTGTTGAAATATCCCAGTTTCACTGGGTTCACTGGCTTCACTAAAATGAAAAAAGAACAGCAATGCATTGAGTGCCACCTAAGGCTGATTTATAATTGTGGGCAGTAATTATTAAATGTTGGTCTCAGCTGTGTTGTTGTCTTGTGTTTCACTAGGTGAGTGAAAGCTGGAGAGCATTTCTCCTCCTCTCTCTCTGCCTCCAGTTGGCCAGCTGGACACTCGTCATCTACTGGTCCCGCTATCACTGGCACAACCATCCGATCAGCCGGGCCCTGCAGGCCCACATACAGCCTCCTCACTCCAACTGGGGCTCTGTAGCATCCAGCATCAACACTGAGTTCAGACGTATCGATAAGTTTGCTACAGGGGCACCTGGAGCCAGAGTTATTGTTACTGACAGCTGGGTTTTAAAGGTGAGTAAAAGTGTTTTGGTGAAAATTCATAGGTGTGGGGTCGGCTTGTGGGCCATGTGCTTGTTTGCACCTTAATTGATATGGTCCCTGAGTTAGTTAAAAATGAAATCTATATTTGGCCTGTTGGCTATATTAAAATGCAGTTCTTATAGTGAACACTAGGTGTCAGTATCACCATATGTATAGTATGTTAGATGACATTAAGGAAAGCAGTCTCCTGTGGGAGAAACTGTGTTCAGTTACAGCTCTCCGGCCATGACAGGTGAGCAGAATGGAATGAAATCTCTGGTGTTCAGTAAAGTTAGCCAGTCTGGAGCAGAGGCTGTGAAATCGCATTGTATTATGCAAGAGGAAGCAGTCTGTGCTATAGCCGTCCAGCTGGGTTATGTGATTTGATCTCATTCTAGTTCTGCAGCCGTTTGGAACAGTGAAATTTAATAATCATAAAATGAGATTCAAGTGTACAGCACAAAGTTCTCTTTCATTAGGATAATCTCTTCAATGAGAGATTGCAAATTTACAATCGCATTTACAGATGGACCAATAAATTGAAAGATTCGCCTTCTGGCTCAGCTCCCTCTTCACGACAATCCAGGGCAGCACCTGTATCATTGCGGACGCACGCCAAACCGCTGACCCATCTCATGCTCCATTTTATTCTCACTCATGAACGTGACCGTGAGATACTTGAACTCCCTCACTTGGGGCAGTAACTCACTCGTAACCTAGAGGGGGGCAATCCACCATTTTCCAGCGGAGAACCACAGCCTCAAATTTAATTGTTATTTAATTGAAATAACCCTAATGGAATTGATATTGCATGGAATCGAATTGAATCAAATCGGGAAATCAGTGGTGATACCCAGACCTGTTTATGGATTATATTGATCATGCAGTTTAGCTGTATAAGAGATAAGATAAGATAAGATACATCCTTATTGATCCCACAATTGAGAAATTCCAGTGTTACAGCAGTCAAGGAGAAAGAGTCAGATTAAAAATTTCAAAATTTAAAAACTAGGCATGCAAAAAAGTACAAAAATACAAGGAACGGCAATAAATAATAATAATAATGAGAAGTGGATAATAATGAGCAGTGGATTAAAATTAGCAGTGGATAGTAATGAGAAGTGGATAAAAGAGAGCATATTTAGTGCAAAGTGATTGAATGTACAAAAAACAACAAGGGGGACAGTGATGTTACTAAGGTGTCCATAATGATTATAGTGAGGTGCAGAGCAGTTTTGGCTTCAGTGCAAGTCCATTAACATGAAGACTTTTCTCCAGTAATCCATGCTTAACTTTTTTGACTGTCTTGTCTCCATCAGGGTGGTTGCTGTCCCTTTTACTGTGTTTTCATTTTAAAGGTATTGCAAATTGGCACAAAAAAAAACCATCCATATGGCTGACATTTTTTTGATTCTGTCCTTCTCTAGGTGACCACCTATTACATCTACATGGCCTTACAGAGTGAATGTCATGTGACAGTGACGGAGTCCAGACAACACCAACTGAGTCCGGACTCGGCTGCCCCCACACAGATCTTGACCCTGAGAGTGGACAGCATTAACCCTGCTGTCAGACCCTTTGATATCAGGTGAGTGAGGGAGCGTGCGTGCGTGCGTGCGAGCGTGCGAGCGTGCGAGCAAGCAGTGGTGGTTATCCCCACCACTCGCAGCTGCCATCTTTCTCAGCTCAGCTGCCTGTTTCACCAGTAGAGACAGACCTCTGGTGGTGGACAGGGGTGGGTATCGTTTGGGTTTTTCGTGATGCCGGTGCCTGAACCAACATTTAAAAAAAAAACAGTAAAGCACAGACAAAGGTCAATTACATTAAAGGATGACTTTTTTCATTGCAAAACTGAACTACAGTATATATTAGTGGTAAGAGTTTAAAGTAAACTTAAATATACAGTACAGGCCAAAAGTTTGGACACACCTTCTCATTCAATGCGTTTTCTTTATTTTCATGACTATTTACATTGTAGATTCTCACTGAAGGCATCAAAACTATGAATGAACACATGTGGAGTTATGTACTTAACAAAAAAAGGTGAAATAACTGAAAACGTTTTATATTCTAGTTTCTTCAAAATAGCCACCCTTTGCTCTGATTACTGCTTTGCACACTCTTGGCATTCTCTCGATGAGCTTCAAGAGGTAGTAACCTGAAATGGTTTTCCAACAGTCTTGAAGGAGTTCCCAGAGGTGTTTAGCACTTGTTGGCCCCTTTGCCTTCACTCTGCGGTCCAGCTCACCCCAAACCATCTGGATTGGGTTCAGGTCCGGTGACTGTGGAGGCCAGGTCATCTGCCGCAGCACTCCATCACTCTCCTTCTTGGTCAAATAGCCCTTACACAGCCTGGAGGTGTGTTTGTGGTCATTGTCCTGTTGAAAAATAAATGATCGTCCAACTAAACGCAAACCGGATGGGATGGCATGTCGCTGCAGGATGCTGTGGTAGCCATGCTGGTTCAGTGTGCCTTCAATTTTGAATAAATCCCCAACAGTGTCACCAGCAAAACACCCCCACACCATCACACCTCCTCCTCCATGCTTCACAGTGGGAACCAGGCATGTGGAATCCATCCGTTCACCTTTTCTGCGTCTCACAAAGACACGGCGGTTGGAACCAAAGATCTCAAATTTGGACTCATCAGACCAAAGCACAAATTTCCACTGGTCTAATGTCCATTCCTTGTGTTTCTTGGCCCAAACAAATCTCTTCTGCTTGTTGCCTCTCCTTAGCAGTGGTTTCCTAGCAGCTATTTGACCACGAAGGCCTGATTCGCGCAGTCTCCTCTTAACAGTTGTTCTAGAGATGGGTCTGCTGCTAGAACTCTGTGTGGCATTCATCTGGTCTCTGATCTGAGCTGCTGTTAACTTGCCATTTCTGAGGCTGGTGACTCGGATGAACTTATCCTCAGAAGCAGAGGTGACTCTTGGTCTTCCTTTCCTGGGTCGGTCCTCATGTGTGCCAGTTTCGTTGTAGCGCTTGATGGTTTTTGCGACTCCACTTGGGGACACATTTAAAGTTTTTGCAATTTTCCGGACTGACTGACCTTCATTTCTTAAAGTAATGATGGCCACTCGTTTTTCATTAGTTAGCTGATTGGTTCTTGTCATAATATGAATTTTAACAGTTGTCCAATAGGGCTGTCGGCTGTGTATTAACCTGACTTCTGCACAACACAACTGATGGTCCCAACCCCATTGATAAAGCAAGAAATTCCACTAATTAACCCTGATAAGGCACACCTGTGAAGTGGAAACCATTTCAGGTGACTACCTCTTGAAGCTCATGGAGAGAATGCCAAGAGTGTGCAAAGCAGTAATCAGAGCAAAGGGTGGCTATTTTGAAGAAACTAGAATATAAAACATGTTTTCAGTTATTTCACCTTTTTTTGTTAAGTACATAACTCCACATGTGTTCATTCATAGTTTTGATGCCTTCAGTGAGAATCTACAATGTAAATAGTCATGAAAATAAAGAAAACGCATTGAATGAGAAGGTGTGTCCAAACTTTTGGCCTGTACTGTATAAATATGGTTAAGTACAAAACACTATCAACTAATTCACCTAATAAATGAAACCTAACCCCCTTAATAATTTAACACTAAATAACAGTGACAGTTAAGCTTGGGCAATGTCTAGTTTTTCATCCCTTCATACCTCCTTTGGTCTGGGCCTGTGAGAACAGAGGCATGGGGTTATAAATGAGGTCAGTTTTTATCTACCCACATGCCTTATGATAACCTTACTTGGCTTACATGACAATATGTTAAGCTGGACCTGTTAATTGGCCTGATTGGCCTTATCCCCATATGCAATTAACTCACTATTTCTACTGTAGGCAGCCAGAGTCGGCAACGAGCACAGATTATAAATAGAATGGCCAATAGTTTGGAAGCTGATCCAAAGAGCCGAGTAACTCTAACAATGTAGTTTTGTGTGAGGAACTTGAATAAATACAGCTGTTTGAAGGAGAAATTTGTTGTGTCTTCACAGTCATATTAAATAGATAATAGAGAGGAAATTATGATATATATATATAGTAAAAAGACTTTTGAAGCAGTTGTTTTTCATGTGAAATAAGCTTATTATAAAGGTAATTTCATGATTGAATTTACGCTCATTTAAAGGTAGCGTAATGAAGGGCTGAAAGACTTTTAAACAGTTCAATTATTTTTTATAATGAACATTTCTTGGTTTCTCTGGCACAAAATGGGGAATAAATAACAACAAAATGTAGACAATTAGCTAAATGGACCAATGTTACTTAGAGAACACACATTACTCTAATTACTATAATTGTGATGCTTAGAAAAGAGGCTAACATCAAGCTTACTGAAAATGACAGAATTGTGACAGTTTTTCTTTTAGTTGTAGTGGTTGTAAAATCAAGTTATGAACTTAATATCTAAGCCCTGTCTTTAACTGACCAAGAGCAACAGCAACATATATTTTTACAGCTACAATGTAATACAATGTACTGCAATACAGTGTTGGACCTGGCTCTGCACTCTCTCGTGCCCTGAACTGATGTTCCCCTGACATTACTTTTGTAGTTGTAAGATAACATTAATTTTAGGGTGAGTTTTTCCATTTATGCTGATGCTGAAATTGACTGGAAAGATACAATTTCATCTTCCCCATGGCTGAACTAGTTGGGAAACACTGCCATAGAGGGTTCACATATTTGTCCCCTTTTTCACCCCTGATGAGTTTGCACTGGTATCAATTAATAATTATTAATGGTCTTGAAAATCACAGCATCTAGATTTCTACATACCCTGGAATACTGCAGTAAAGTGATACTACCCAAACCTTCTTTGTGCTGTTTCTAGGCTCAACTCTACAGAGTATGCAGAGCTCAGGGAGAAGCTCCATGCTCCCATCAGAAACTCTCCCAATGTAGTGATCCACCAAACCATGAGTGAACTCTTCTTAGAAACATTTCGAGCTCAAGTGGAACTCAATCAACCGTACATCCCCCCCAGTGGACAGGTACACTACTATTTGTGTGTTCAAATCCTTTCCATACCATCATTATCAAAATGTAAAATGCATCAAAAGAATATTTGGTCTCCACACACAGGAGATGGAGCCCTGTATCGGCTGTATGCAGGTTCCAGCAAGCACCAAGCTGGTGAGATTGTGCCACACAGAAGGTAAGAGCCAGTGTGTGTTAGTAAATGAATGTGAGTGTGCGTGCACATACTTGGCCAATCTAGCTGATGGTGATTGTGATTCTGTTACTGCTTTGTGCTACAGGAGCTGATAATGAGTCAGAGTGCCAGCAGTGTTTCTGCAGACCGATGTGGTGTCTGTCCTGTCTGGGTCGATGGTTCGCCAGCCGCCAAGACCAGCAAAGACCTGAGACCTGGTTGTCCAGCAGGGTCCCCTGCCCAACCTGTCGAGCCAAATTCTGTATACTGGACATCTGTGTGGTCCACTGACACCTCATACGTGCAGATCCAAACAGACTTTATCCTCTCAAACCCCTGAAAGAGAAGCAGTGGACAGGACTTTGGACTGAACTTAGTTATGTACCTGCTTATTGTATGCTTTCAGTAAGGAGTGATTGTTCAGAATAATGATTGGTTCTGAATACATACATAGTATATAGCCTGATCAATGTTATACTTTGGGAGGTGTTCTTGTTTGGTGTTTACCTCAAGTCAGATAAGAGGGATAATATCAGTTACTAAAAGACAACCAGGATGTGTTATGCTGGGTTCAGACTACATGATATCAGCCTGATGCGGCCGTTGTACGGTGCACGCTTAGATCCTGAACGACAATGAGTGTCATACGTGATGATCCATAGTTTTATCCTGTGTAGTGTGTTATAGTAAATGGCAACTGACTCGACGTCTGGAACACATCACAACTTCTCAACAGGAAGTCTAGCATGTTTGATTTTCTTTTTGTCTTCCACAACTTCTCCTGTCATAGCCATCACTTTGACCAATAGAAACGCAGAGCGATCTGCTGCTGTGGACAACAGTATGTCAAGAGAAAAATGAGGTTGTGAAACAGCAGAAGCGCTTTAGCAACCTGGTGAGCACTCATAATGAAGGATATAAAGAAATAAAATTCACTAATAGCAGCGGGACTTATACTCTCTACGAGAGTACCAGCTTCATTTGACACAGACTACATAAGAAACAGGTGGTTATTTTCAGACACAGGCCTTTATTTCTCATTCCCTCTGTATTTTTCTATTTTTACTTTCAATCGGCTCCCATTTGCCCTGTTAAATTGAATGTATTGCACAGTCATTTCAAACTCAACACTTCTTGTATCCGTTTAAATTTAAAAACCCCTCATCATTTCAGTTGAGAGAATCCTTTCATATCATAAAAAAGACTTCTATTCTGAAACATTTGCAGCAGCTTGTTGTGGAGGATTCAGTGAGGATTCAATAGTTTGCATGTGGTACTTCAAATGTAGCTCCTTCCTTCTGGTGACAATTTTTATGTTACTTCTATAACAGTTCAGCTGGGACGTGAACAGTTACAGTGAATGAAATAACAGTAACCAGCAATGATTGGTCATGGACCAGCATGTAGCCTGTCATGTCTGTAGGCCAAGTCACAGCAAGATTTTACGACTCCACAATCGCCTTATCTGACATAAAGACTGTCTGAACGGACAGAAATGTTGTGTAGTGTGAACCCAGCATTAGCTTAGCAGAAAGACTGACTGCATTTAAAACAGACTCACTCCTGCTCAAACTATAAAAGCAGCCTTTAGCAGCTGGCAGGTGATCACATCTCTTGAGCAGGAATAGCCAATCAGACACAAGAATTGAACTTTATTTATTTATTCATTTATTCTGTAAAAAATCCTCTGATGTTCTCACTGATAATGTTATCCTGCACACATCATTTTGTTCAAATAACAATATGCAGGTTGGAGACCCACTGAAACAGTTCATATGAAAATGATAAAGAAACTGATTTTTGTAAAGTAAAAAAAAAACATCTATATCACAGCAGCGTCTGGAGTGGTTTTTATAAGGTATTTTTATGTGCACCTCAAAAAAAACAAGTTGGACCTGATGTCTCGTTAGGGAGATAGACCAAACTAGGTGAAGTTTAACAACAGGAAATCTAGATCCTAGTGTTAGTTTTGACACAGAAGAGGCTGTAAATATGTATAAATATGTATAAATATGTATATGACGGAGCAGAGCTTTATAATTATGAGCCTGCCACATGTCAAAGACACCAGGAACAGAGAAGCATCTGGAGAAGTATGGACTATCTGCACAGCAGGGCGGGTGTCTTGACAGGTGCTAATGATAGCTAATGCAGTGTTCACATCATAACATTGTTAGGTTAACTGTCACATTGCATAGGAAAACTAGTACAGGTTGTCTAACAGTGGCAGGAGTATTAATACATATCCATGATAGAAACTGTAATGCCAAGTGTCACCTTGTATCAGTAGTTTCTTACACTGTCCTAGATGCATTGCAGTTCAGACAGTAAGCCACTTTCTGCAACACAAATGTAAGAGTTTACTGCACCACCAAAACTCAAAGCACAAGATCAGAACTTTTTCAAATATGCGTGTGAATGTACCAAATGTAAATGGTTAAAAAAACAGTGGACCCATTTAAAACTAAAAAGAACTACTTTGGAATAAAGCTGCTCAATCCTCGATGCTAGATATTAAATCAATATAAATATAAGCATGACTAAATAGTGAACATTTTCAAAGATGTCCTGCATAGTTGAGAATGTTACTCAGTCCCTGGCCCATGGCCTAACTGTTAACCAGAATTCATGGAAATCTCTAAGCAGGTTTTAGAGAAATCTCACAAATGAACAAGTGACTGAGTGCGTAAGCTCTGTTGCTTAGGTTAATATGACGCCCATTCTCGAGAATTGGGACAAATCATGTCCTACCAATTAAAAAACCCTTCAAATTATAACCAATCAACACACTACTTCTGTTTCAGGGGTGAAACATTGTGTTTAATGGATTTATGTATATGAAATAAATATGATTTATAAATTTTTGTTCGGCTTTCATTGTTTTTAAACTTACGAACTTGCGTAGTGTCAGAAACAACCTCGTTCCAGACAAGAATTCAAAACTTTGAACAATTAAAAATCTGTTAAAAGCCTTCAAAACCTAAAACTAACAGTACATATCGATAATATTGGTGTCAAAACGCGCTACTATATTCATCTTTGTTTTAAAACAGATTTTTTATGAAAATGTTGGCCCTTTAAAGATGTGTCCCAGATTTCTGTCAGCTCCATCAGATTTCTACAAAAACATAATTTAAACAGTCATAAAAAGGTGTTAGCTATATCACAAGGACTCTTGTGTAAGCTTCTGGTTTCCAAAAAGGTGAGGATGCTGCTCAAGTACTAGTAAAATTTCTATATTCTGATAAATTCATAAATCATATTGTTGTCAGGTGTGTGTCAACCATAACAGGTCAGTGCTGTAGCCCTTCTAAATCCAAACTAAATAAGAATTATGAATTAAAAGTGAGTATTTTGATGAGCATTAAGAGAACTCTGAGAAACTTTGAAAAATTAAATGGCTCCTCACTACAACTGCAGTAAAATTATTAACTTATTGTCAACTCTGTCATGACATACAGTACAGGCCAAAAGTTTGGACACACCTTCTCATTCAATGCGTTTTCTTTATTTTCATGACTATTTACATTGTAGATTCTCACTGAAGGCATCAAAACTATGAATGAACACATGTGGAGTTATGTACTTAACAAAAAAAGGTGAAATAACTGAAAACATGTTTTATATTCTAGTTTCTTCAAAATAGCCACCCTTTGCTCTGATTACTGCTTTGCACACTCTTGGCATTCTCTCCATGAGCTTCAAGAGGTAGTCACCTGAAATGGTTTTCCAACAGTCTTGAAGGAGTTCCCAGAGGTGTTTAGCACTTGTTGGCCCCTTTGCCTTCACTCTGCGGTCCAGCTCACCCCAAACCATCTCGATTGGGTTCAGGTCCGGTGACTGTGGAGGCCAGGTCATCTGCCGCAGCACTCCATCACTCTCCTTCTTGGTCAAATAGCCCTTACACAGCCTGGAGGTGTGTTTGGGGTCATTGTCCTGTTGAAAAATAAATGATCGTCCAACTAAACGCAAACCGGATGGGATGGCATGTCGCTGCAGGATGCTGTGGTAGCCATGCTGGTTCAGTGTGCCTTCAATTTTGAATAAATCCCCAACAGTGTCACCAGCAAAACACCCCCACACCATCACACCTCCTCCTCCATGCTTCACAGTGGGAACCAGGCATGTGGAATCCATCCGTTCACCTTTTCTGCGTCTCACAAAGACACGGCGGTTGGAACCAAAGATCTCAAATTTGGACTCATCAGACCAAAGCACAGATTTCCACTGGTCTAATGTCCATTCCTTGTGTTTCTTGGCCCAAACAAATCTCTTCTGCTTGTTGCCTCTCCTTAGCAGTGGTTTCCTAGCAGCTATTTGACCATGAAGGCCTGATTGGCGCAGTCTCCTCTTAACAGTTGTTCTAGAGATGGGTCTGCTGCTAGAACTCTGTGTGGCATTCATCTGGTCTCTGATCTGAGCTGCTGTTAACTTGCGATTTCTGAGGCTGGTGACTCGGATGAACTTATCCTCAGAAGCAGAGGTGACTCTTGGTCTTCCTTTCCTGGGTCGGTCCTCATGTGTGCCAGTTTCGTTGTAGCGCTTGATGGTTTTTGCGACTCCACTTGGGGACACATTTAAAGTTTTTGCAATTTTCCGGACTGACTGACCTTCATTTCTTAAAGTAATGATGGCCACTCGTTTTTCTTTAGTTAGCTGATTGGTTCTTGCCATAATATGAATTTTAACAGTTGTCCAATAGGGCTGTCGGCTGTGTATTAACCTGACTTCTGCACAACACAACTGATGGTCCCAACCCCATTGATAAAGCAAGAAATTCCACTAATTAACCCTGATAAGGCACACCTGTGAAGTGGAAACCATTTCAGGTGACTACCTCTTGAAGCTCATGGAGAGAATGCCAAGAGTGTGCAAAGCAGTAATCAGAGCAAAGGGTGGCTATTTTGAAGAAACTAGAATATAAAACATGTTTTCAGTTATTTCACCTTTTTTTGTTAAGTACATAACTCCACATGTGTTCATTCATAGTTTTGATGCCTTCAGTGAGAATCTACAATGTAAATAGTCATGAAAATAAAGAAAACGCATTGAATGAGAAGGTGTGTCCAAACTTTTGGCCTGTACTGTACATCATGTATGATATTCAAGAAGAAATTCAATCACTGGGAGGTTAGCCCATTACAAGGTTTAATAGTCAAGACTTTGATTTTTTTTAATTGTATGCTCCCAGCCTAATTGAAGAGTAAAATTGAATAATAATAATAATAATAATGATTTGTCCCAATTCACACTCACCTGTACACTGCTCTCTTGAAGATCCTTTGGTGACCTGGAGTAGCCCTCTCTTAGAGACTCCATGAGGGCTGATGCCAAGGGTGTAGGTTTCGTTCCAACATTGGGAGGGGACATATTTTACGCAAGGGGTATGGTGTTCCTCCGCCAGGAAAATCTGAGCATCTATTTCCTGCATTCTGGTGATATTTTTTCTGCTTCAGTTTAAAATGGAAATGTCTTTGTTAAATGAAATGCAAAATTCATGCACCTGGTCAAAACATACTGCAGTAAGGCTCTCGGACATTCTGTATTACTTTCAAAGACAGTAGAAAATTGTTCAGTTGATCACTATAAGCAGATGATTATTGACCTGAATGCAGCATTGGAGGCAGGGCCCTAATCATTCCCATTAAAGTTGCTCAGTGGCGCATGAAGCCAAAATAGCTCTAATTCCACAGTATGATATTACCTGGATCTTCCATATTATGGGGCCAATAGGGCAGGTTCAAGAGAGACTTACGGTGGCAAAGTGCAGCTGAGGGCCTAACTTCTGCTGGCCGAACAGCTAACTTCTGGTTTAGTGCTCTGCTAATTTGAATGGGGATAAAATGATAAACTCTTTCGGCTCTTCTGGATCTTTGTAATGTTATCAGATCAAATGGATCAAATCCATAGTGAAAAGAGACATTTTGCGGGGTCGTGATGCTCAAAAAAATGTATCCCCTGATTCTCAATGTAAAAGTCAATGGGAGAAAGTCTTTTTGAGCCCCATAATTTCATGTGATGGTGTAATTCCACTTTAGGTCTCTACGGAAATTGGCTTCAAAGCTCGGTGCTGTTCCTGGGGCTTAGGGCAAACTTCTGCATCCGCCTACAGGAAAATGTCATCTCTGGAGCACTCTATGTCAATATACATTTAAAATGTGTAATTCATACTTGTTTTCAAAACAATGGTTTACAGAGCTATCATTTAGGCTTACAGGTGTAAATGTTTATTGTTTTTTCTTTAGTGTAGCTTAAATTAAAGCTTAAATTTATAAGAAAGTAGGACAGGCATTTTTTTATTCTGCCTGAGCCTTTCCAGTCACTACTCAATACATAGACTGTTGATTTTCCTTATACTTAATATTTTGTATAAAGCATTAACCTCTGCCTGTTCATTCTGTACTACTTATAATGTATTCAGCCTCACTTTTCCATGTTGCACCTGTCTGCACATGGTCTGAGCCAAATTATGTCCTGTGTCTTTTCCCAAACACTTTTCCTTGACCTTCGTGGAAAAATCTTTAGGTCAAGAGAAGATATGAGGGAAAATTCAGAAGGACTTTATGCAAGATAGGCATAATGTTTATTTTCATGAATGGCTCAATGATGCATCACTTTAAATGTTTCTGCTGCAAGAAATTATATGATGGCATTATCTGCTTTCCCTTGGTAAATGATGGTCCAGTGGGTGCTGCCTCCTGATCCGCAGCACCTCCCACCCTCCTGAATACACACAAAATAAAATCAGTCCAATCTATATCCTGTGCATAGCTGAATAGCTCTGCAATGTTTTAACAGTTCCCTGCATTCCCTGATGTTTTTTTTATTAGTAGTATTAGTATTTTATTTTATTTTTTACAAAATGACAAAGTATAGAATATTAGACCCTCTCTGTAGTATTTTTGTCTTTGTCGCTGTCTTGAGGTGATTTCTCTGTCCCTTTAAAACACTATTCTCCAGTGGTTGTTGCTTCAGTGCAGCTTTGCCTGAGTTAGCCTACATAAATAAACTGTATTCCATTGAGTGTATATTTTAGTCATCTGTACATCTTTTGCGCAGATTAGACTACATTAATATGTTACTCTCACTGGCAATTTGCTCACGGGGCTTTTGTTGCACTTACAGTAGCATGGTGGTGACAGACCATTGTCTGTCTCTCCACGCCCATGGTGAAACACCATGACCCATAGATGATAGCAGAGAGACTGTAACAATGACCTGAAATGAAATGATTACTTATAACTTCAGTAAGTAACATGAATAAACAGCCTCATACTGCATTTTCGTTTATGGTGTGTGGTTTTTGCTGTAGGTGGGGCTCAGCCCCAGATTTTTGACAGACACGTGGGAGCTCAGGGAAGTGGAGGAGAGACAGACAGCAAACAGCCGTAGAGATGACGACGACTGCACTCCTTGTTGCTGTGCATGTACGCTTTGTGGGTATAACGTCCCTGTAACCAGGTGCGGCAACACATTTTGACTAATAGAGGCTGGTCTCAATATCTTTGGTTGTATAAAACCTCTTTAAGTCCAATGGGTTGTCAGCTATCCACTTGAACTAATGTTAGTTAGGTAGCTGTCACTGCACATACAAATATAAATGTTGAAAGCTTGGTCAATGTGGACATGCTACACACATTATTAGCTCAATTAGATTCATCACAATTCAAATGAGTTCATTTTACTGAAACCGTGAGCATCAAAGAAGATTGTAATTCATTCATATTTACTAGCCTGCTAAACAGGTGTTAAAAGGTGTTAACCCAACCTCTAAAGCAGTCATAAAGTCCAAACGTGTCCATTCCTATTCATATTTCTTTCATCTTTAAGGGTCTACAGATTGGTTGGTTGGTGATGATAGCTGCCTCTGTATACGTCACGTGTCACCAGATCAGTCAACAGCAAAATTCGATAGCAATAGCCAGGTTTCAACCTGTAGAAGTTAGTCACTATGCATATTTAAGACACAATATATAGAATTCAAACACTTTGCACTCAGATGTCAAGATTTGGACTTGTATCAATCAACAACTCTACTACATACCCATATATAGTTTTTCAACTGAAAGAAAGTGGTTTGGGGGTTAGTTATTCTTCAAGTATGAGGCAATAAACCTTATGATGGCATAATGTGTGAGAAAGATGTGTCGTTTGAAAGATGAGCAATTATGAGGCAGAAAGTTTCTAATAAAAAATGCCATTGAGTTGTATCCAGGGTTTTTGGAGTTTGTCCCACATGGTCAGGATATTTGCCCTTTAAACATTCTTCTATAAACCCTTCTGTCACAAGTCCCCAAATGGATGGCATATTATATCACTGCAGTAGCCCTTCAATATTTTTGTTGATCATAATGGTTTATTGTGGCCTTTAATATTAATATACCTGGAGAGAAATACAATGTACAGTCAGTTTTTTGTTGAAAAATCAACAGTGGTCAGTTTCTTTCAAATCTTTTTATTTGTACTGAATAAACATAACTGGCATATTTTGAAATATAACAGGCTTATAAACTATAAAACATCTACTATTAAAAACTGTTTAATGTATGAGCTGCTTAAACTGTTGTGAAATCTGCTGTTTGAGTTCAAAAGTTTGATCCTTATTTAAGTGACCAGACAAGCTTCATGCTGATAGCGATTTTACCAGCTCAAAGTGAGTGTTACCATGAAGTACATACTTAAACAGGGTATTGGCAAGGCAACAGTGGCTCCAAAACAGACCTGGAGCACAGCAATACAATGTGTGCAGCTGTATGCATAGTTAAGTGGAGGTTATTGCTGAGGGATTCCACGGGCTGAATCTTTTAGTCCCTTCGTCAGTTTGCATCTCTTTCGTTGATGGTGTGGCCTTAATGTACAGAACTTTCACAATTACACCTCAGATAAGTACTGATGTTAGTTCCTCTGCTAATGAGTGGTGAGAGAAAGTCATGACAAAAAAAAAGGTATGTTTAATGTTCTTTACGCTTCCATTTATTCACTTGTTCATCTTTTCTCTGATCCTCATCTTGTCATATGTCCCCTCCAATATTCTCCTTGTAGCTTTGTTAGAGGTTCATGTATTGGACCCATCCACTGTCGTAAGCTTCACTCCTGAAACACAAAAAGACATACGTCCATTGAAACAGGCAACTTTGATCCCATCTCTGCCTGTGCCTGGTTTCAGTTTCTATTGGTGACACTTTGAAGGAATACAGAAATATTTATATCACACACACTACTATAAGGCCAAGTTTGCACATCATGTTGTGAAACTTACTGGAGCTCACCAGCTTATTTAGAATTGATGGTATAGCTTCATTCATTCATTCATTCATTCATTTATTCATTATCCATAATCGCTTATCCTCTTAAGGGCTGCAGGGGGACTGGAGCCTATTCCAACTAAACTGGGCAAGAGGCAGGGTAAAGCCTGGGCACGTCACCAGTGAATCGCAAACAACCATTTATGCTCACGTTCACACTTAGGGGCAAACCTAAAGTCACCAAACCTAATGTGCATATCTTTGAACTGTGGGAGGAAGCAGGAGAACCCCACAGAAGGGCCACAGCCAACTTCTTGCTTCAAATCTAGAACCCTCTTGATGTGAGGTGACACTGCTAACCATTGCACCACCTTGCCGCCCATAACTTCATACAGTACATCAGAATTATGCACAATATTAGCATGTATTACTTACAGTATACATATTTACAGTGATATTGAAATGATGAATGAAACAGTATACACATGATTGTACATTACTGATAGTGTATGGATCGACTCAGAAGACTGGAGGCAAGGTTGTCTATTCTTAGGTTGTTAATATCATGGTTGGAATCTACAGGGAACAGAGAGGATATACACAAAGTGATCAATCCACATGATAAATGTAACCCTCCTACTGTGTTTTTAACTCTGTCTTGGGTCAATTTTGACCCGAACACAATAGGGGGGTTAAACCAAATAAAACCTGTCTGAAAGGAATTACCCAGCAGCAAATATCAACAAACACCAAAAAAACAACTGCTCACTGACAAAGAGGTCAAGGCCTTGATATTCCCCAGATCCCATTCTGATCGAGCATCCATAGGACACACTGGTACCCCACCTCAAAACCGTCAGGATTCAAAGGATCCCTGCCAATGCCCTGGTAGGAGACACCACAGGACAACGCAGAGGCCCTGTGTCCATGTCTCAACACTTCAGAGCCAAGTCCAATCCAAGGAGTCCCTTTGTGGATTGGGGGAACTGCTAAGGTACCAGTACATCCTATGGATGCTCAATCAGGTTGGGATCTGGGGAATTTGGAGGCAGTTTTAGCAATGTGGCATGGTGCACTGTTCTGCTGGGGGGCCACTGTCATCGGGGAGTGCTGTTGCCATGAGGGGGGTACTTGGTCTGCAATGGTGTTTGGGTGGGAGGAGCTGGGAGATATGGTTTAAAAATAATATGATCATATTTTTAGGCTATATCAGGATACACAATATAGATCACGATATTTTGAAATCTCCTTCAAAGGACTGTCGACTACTAAAATAAAAAATTATTAAATGAACTTCAGTTAAAATAAAGTTAAATAAAGTAGCTACTGTCATAATAAAGCCAAATATAGTACAGTTGCAAAAAAGGGAAATACCTTTATAAACTGTAATAATCTGCAAGTCGCACTGGTGCTCCATGGTCGCAAAATGTGACTAAATAGTAGCATGCTGGAGCCTTGAAGACAAGAAACACACCTCACCTACTATAGCTCAGCAAAAAATTATCTGGATGAGCAGAGGAATATAGTAATTTTATAAATTGCACATGGAAAAAAAACCAAGCCACAATACATTATATATATATATATATATATATATATATATATA